AAAATCAATACAATCTTCTGTCTCAGATTAAAAGAAATTTCCTAAGATTTACAAATCAAATAAAAAAGTTAAGTCTTACCTAGATGATCCTCTTTCTCAATGTTGTTATTGAAAATTTTTTTCATGAGTGATTTCATTTGCCTCCTTTACAACGTCCTAGGAACAACTGGCTGTAAACACAGGACATTAATCTTAAATCTATTAAAAAAATAGAAAGATATACATATGTATATATTAAAATTGTTCTGTACAATTTTGAATAGCTATTGTATTAAGAGGCCTACATGTGAGCTATTTTTCCTTTTGTGCAGAATATCATGTAATGTATTCAAAGAACTTAAATCTTTAAATAATATTATAACTAGGTTGCCGCACTAGTTGGAATACAAATCAAATTTCATCCTAAAAAATAATAAAATCATCTTTAATATTAAGAAAATGAGTTACATTAGCTACATGTAGATATGTTACAATTTAAATAAATATTATAAGGATTGCACTATAAGTTTCTTAACGCAATGTAAATTGCTTGTAGTCCACCAACATTATTAATCACAAATAAGGGCTTCAGTAAAATTATTAGATAGAATGAGCAATTAGCTCGATGAAAAGCTTGTGCAGTAAGAACCTTAAAAAAAAAAAAAAGACAAGTTTCTTGTCAAGCCAAAAAGCTAAAAAAAAAAAGAGAAGAAACTCAAGAGATGGCAACCATATAATCACCTTATGAAGTAGTCTAATTTTTCTATAGATGAAATTGGAAGCCAACATAACCGCTTGTTAATTCTGCTTGGAGACTCATAACACGTTGTATAAGTGATATTTATAAAAACATAACAATCAAACATAACCGAGTTCTGATAACACTTTAATAAGAAAAACACACATCTTTTAAAAGCCAATGACATAACTTGTCATTTTTAATACCGTTATGTTTCAAATAATATTATATTTAAATTAACAAAATTTAAAGTAAAACAAGTAAATTATATTGATTAATTTATTCTTATCATGTTTAATTCTTGATCCATGTAATGGTTTTGATATATAATTAAGATATTATTAACTTATGTGTTTAAATATTAAAAAATTAATAAAATATGTTTACCTAACCAAAAAAAATTAAAATACAAAAAAGATAGAAGCATGTGTATTAAAATTATTTTTTTAGAATAAATAATTTGTTAAATAGAATTTATGTTACTTTAATTTATTTTGTTACTTCCAATACCAGTTAACTAATATTTAAGATAAAAATATAATTTAAAAAATAAAAAACATATGTATTATATGACTTTTGACCTTAGAAAAAATTATATAAATTTTAAAAGTAAAAGGCAAGCCTATATATGTTAGCCGTAAATTTATTAACAAATAAAAAAATATATTTGTGTATATCTATATTTATACCTTAAATTGTTCCGTATAATTTTAAATAGCTCTTGGATTAAGAGGTCCACATGTGAGCTATTCTTCTCTTTATACAAAATATCAAATAATGTATTCAAAGAACCTAAATCTTTAAATCATATTATAATTAGGTTGTCGCACTATTTGGGAGATATGTTAAATTTCATTATAATAAATAGCAAAATCACCTTTAATATTAAGAAAACAAGTTATATTAGCTACATACAAATATGTTATAATTTAAATAAATATTATAAGGATTACACTGTAAGTTTCTTAATGCAATATAAATTACTTGTAGGTTCACTAACATTATTAATTACAAGCAAGGGTTTCGGTAAAATTGTCAAATAGAATGAGCAAGTAGCTTGATGAGAACCTAACAAAAGAGAGAGAAAGAAGAAGAAGCTTCTTAATAAGTCAAAAAGTTTTCCAAAAAAAAAAAACTTAAGAGATGACAATAACATAATTATCTCATAAAGTAGTTTAATTTTTTTATAGATGGAATTAAAAGCCAACGTAACTACTTGTTAATTTTGCTTGGAACCTTATAATACGTTTCATAAATGACATTTATTAAAACTTCTTAGCAATGAAATATAATTGGGCTCTGATACCACTTTAATGAGAAAAACACATCTTTTAAGTTAATGACATAACGTGTCATTCCTGATACCGTTATGTTTCAAATAATATTATATTTAAATTAAAAAATTCAAAATAAAATAAATAAATTATATTGATTAATTTATTCTTATCATGTTTAATTCTTAATTCATAAAGTGATTTTGATATATAATTAAAATATTATTAATTTATACATTTAAATATTGAAAAATATTAAGTAAATTAACATAATGTTGTTAGACAAGACAATGACTGATAAAACAGATGTAGCATCATGGCGAAAGAGGTTCCCCAGCAGAGGAGTATTGACGGTAGAGATTGGATAGTTATGTGTTAGGTGCAGAAAGACTATGGAGGGACAAGTATGTCCTTTTTCATATTCCCGCATGGTGTAATCTCCATTCATATGTACCAGTAGTGTAATCACAATGCATCCATTTAAGGTAAATGGGCATTACAAGATATAATCCTCTTTATATTACATAATTCTAATCAAACATTTGAATAAGCCTAATGCATCAAGATTACATGTAATCCTCTTTCATATAATCAAACTAAACGGGTCATTATATTTCTTGATGGATTTTATAAAAGGAGAATTACAATGATGTTTAAAGGAAAAAAATAATTACTAAAAAGTCTTAATAACAATCAAAACCAATTTTTAAAATTTATTTTAAAATTATTTTTTGGATCTCATTATAATTTTTTTTTTTAAAAAAATATAACTCGGATAACCAACCTTAGGTTAACTTTTTCCAGTTTTAGTTGAAAATAAGATCAGGTTCATTTGGATTGACGGTGGAAAAAATAGCTTATTTTTAATATGACTTTTAGAAAAGTAAAATTGGATAAAAGTTAAATTGGGTAAAATGAATTGTATTTAGAGGAGTTTAAAAAAATTAGTTTGTAAAAATGAGATTAGTAAAAAGTTGTTAGGATTATGATTGAATAAAAGTAAGTTTATTTGTAAAATTACCAAAATGTGTATAAGTTTTAATAAATAATGAAATATGATTAAAAAAATAATTTTACATAATACAATGAATTTTAATTAATTTAATATGAAGAAGTGAAATTTAATAAGTGAATTAAATTTTAAACTTTTAGAGAAATCATAAAAAATATTTTAAATATAAAGTGAAACATGATTAAAAAATGAATTTACATAATACAATAAATTAAAATTAATTTAATATGAAGAAGTGAAATTTAATGATTGAATTAAATTTGAAAATATTAGAGAAATAAAAAAATTATTACAAAATGTAAATATAAAATATTTTATATTTTATAAATGAAAATTAGTAAAGAAATATATACATCAATTCAATAAACATTTGAAATTATTAAGTATTTTTTATTATGAATATAGCTTTCTTTCTTTGAAATTCTATCATCATCTAACTTCAGTGGGTCTCTTACTTCTCATCCATTCCTCTTTGTTGGCACAGCGGAATGTGGGGAAGAGACAAGAACATTGGCAATGAAACGACGAGTTTTAAAACAGCAGATAGGCAACAGATGTTAAAGGTAGAGGAGAGAAGCTAGATCCCAAAATAAACTCTTCAAATAAGCTCTTTCTAAGAATTTAATTTGAAACTGATCCAGCTTATAAAAAGATAAGTCCACCACAAGCCTTTCCAAATATGATATAGAGCCTGTTTGGATTAGTGTTTGCTAGCCCAAACGTGGCTTAAAATAGGGAGAAACCCGATTCAAAATGAAGGTGTTGTTTGGGAGAGCTTATATTATATTGGACTTGTGAAAACATAAGCTGTCTCACCGTGCGTTTAGAATAAGCTAGAGAAGGGAGCTTATTTTTCAAATATGAAGAGTTTAGTACTGTTCTGAGGTGTCAGAAATTTTTTTATTCCCTCTTTCTCTCCCTTCTGGCAATTATTTTCCCATGAGTTGTTCACTTGTTTTCTTTATTCAGAGCAGTCACCCACAGGCCGCGAGTGAACATGTCGTTGTGATCATATTGAACCTCGCTCTGGAGCCTCTTTGAAGAATTTCAAGCATTTAGAAAATGATAGGACATGACAAAACTAAAAAACAAGTTGGTATATTCATGGAGTACTAGAAGTAGAAGTAGTATTCGAAATATTTAAAATATTTTTTATCTCAAATTTTTTTTTAATCTTTCACTTTATATTTAAAATATTTTTTATAATTTTTTTTAAAATTTTAAAATTTAATTCACTCATTAAATTTGACTTCTTCATATTAAATTATTTTAATTTCATTGTATTATGTGAAATCATTTCTTTTTATCATGTTTCATTATTTATTAAAACTCATATCCATTTTGGTCATTTTAGAACCAAATTTACTTTTATTCAACCATAATCCAAACAACTTTTTATTATTCTCATTTGTACAAACTAATTTTTCTGAACTCCAATCCAAATACAATTCAACTTATCTAATTTAGCTTTTACTCAACTTTACTTCTCTATAAGCTATCTTTTTAATAAGCTATTTTTTTAATCGTTAATCCAAAGGAACCCATGATTTTTCAATCAGGCTGTTACCCAAAATGAGTAGCTTATAGGCCAATTTAAACCCTCCCAAACAGGTACTAAATAACCAGTATGTCAGTTTAAACGCAAAATAAGTAGCCTATAGGCCAATTTAAACCCTCCCAAACAGGTACTAAATAACCAGTATGTCAGTTTCAGATTGAACCGATCAGGGCGGGTGTTCATGATAATAAATTAATAATAATGGGCCTCCAAAGTCACACTAGGACATCGACCCAGGTAAATTAGTCGAGAACAAATGATCGGGTGACTTGCGAACACCTCCCAGTTCTGCATTTTGTTCGGTTTAATCCCTTAATACAAAAATCGTCTTTCGCTGCTTGCTAGAGAGACAGTCCCCCTTTCAAGCATGGCGATGACAGTTCACGGTACGCGCTTTGAATTTTTACTTATACTCAAAGTATCTATTGCGTATAAATTATTGATCTCTTGCCGCGATCGTTTGTATAGCCCGAATCATTACTCAATTACTTTCAACTCTGGTTAGTTTAAACTTTTATTGTTGTTGTGGCTTGGGCTGAAATCATTGAACCGAAAGGGTCGTGCTGAATTAGGGTTGTAAATAGCAGAATTCAGTGGGAAGTTTTTCTATTAAATTCTAGCACGGATTAGTTGGAGTATGAAAGGTTAATCTTTGCATTTGGTAGGTCTCGCTTGAAAGGGATCCGGCCCAAGCAATGGAGAATTCCACGAAGTTTTGAAGAATTTATTTCAGGGTGTTTTTTATATGATTAAAAAGGAAGATAGATAAGGGGAGAATAAAACTAAGGAATGAATTTAAATCTCAATCTGTTACAATCAAACCACTTTGCAATCTATATCTTAACTTATTTAAAATACAATTAAGTTGTGTCTAGAATCCTGAGAGATGCATGTAAATCATACGTCCTTCACTAAACTGAAGAAAAGTAAAAAGGGAAAAAAAAAAAATGAAGATCAGAAAATGTGGGACTCAAGTAATGCATGTAAGGTTGGATGTTAGGATCAGATGCGGTGGATCAGCGCCTTCATATATTTTTACTACCACCGAATGATAAGACACGGCTGTTACCGTATTGGTTTTTTTTCCCTCTTGGTAAAGAAGAGGCTAAACGCCCAAGAAAATAAAGCTGTTAGCATATTATTTTGTTACGGTGTAGGGGGAAGGGACTGTCACGCATTTTCTGGCAGTGAGCATACAGAATCAAATTGTTTAATAGTATATAAGTACGTATATATATATATATATTTTTGGATTTAAAATCCAGTATATGTGTTATGGTTGTTATGGCAGGCCACACATGTCACGTTTAATATCATGCCATATATACCTGCAAATCATATTGCTTTGATGCTGTTTTTCATGTTGAACACTTATACTTAGCTCCAGTCCTTTGTCACTGATGTTCTTTTCTGACATTGATTATGTCCTGAAAATCTGGTGTTACAAATTCGTGTACTGGGATGTGCAAATGGTTCTCCTCTTTGCAGTGTAAGTTTGAACTGAGTTCTATGAACTTGGCATTAATATGGGCAGGAGGAAAATTTCTAACTACATTTTTTCTGAACATGCAGCCTTGCTGGCCTGGCATTCATGTTCTCAGCTAGCATTTTGCTACAGATTCTGGTATGTTTTCTATTTTCTACAATTAAACTCCTTGAGCATGTAGTGCTAAATGCTTGAATCCAAGATAGGTTTGAACAACTTGCAGTCACGTGAAGTTCTAAATTCAATTTATTGTATAATTTGTACTTGTTTCTGGTGAATTTTTTAATCCCACAATAATGGTTTTCGGGATAAACTGGAAATGAATCATAATAATATACTATATAACAACAATAACAATTTATATTTTACGAGGTGGGGTCAATGTGTAGTCAAGTAAGGATTTCTAGGTGTGATACTGGATTGCATCTGCATAATTATTTCCTACGCTATACTCAGTGCTCACTTCGCATAATGTTAACAAAATTGAAATCAAGTTTGCACCGCTATTCTTTTGGTTAGGTATTTAGAACGAATGTTACTGACTTTCAGTTGTCAAGGAGATGATCAATTTTTTATTCTTGGTTTTTGTTAATAATCATGATACAGTCTTCCGTGGAGTTTCTAAGCTTTTCTCAGTATGACTCTAGGAGTGCAGTTAATGATTTGTTGCTATTGTAAGGTTTTTGTATCAATTGAAAATCTTTTTTGCATAGGATAGATCTTACAGCTTTCCAGACTGCAGTTCAGAGTTAATATTTTACAACTGGTACTCCAACATGGAGTTCGTGGTTTCATATCTAGTTGGGAGTGTTTGGGGCGTCTTTAGAGGGGTGGGAATGGGCTGCACCTTTCTGTTGTCTACACCAAGATAAATAAACTGGGGAAGAATGTATTTTCAAATGGATCTTTTTGTGTCCTTTGCTATCTTCAATTTTGAAATGAGAAATGCATCAACAATTGGATGTGGAATGCCATAGCTGCTTATCAGACTCTATCAAATCCATTATCTTAACCCCAACGGGCGGTTGAGCTGGGACCCCTCGACCTGAAGGACTCATTGGAGCCAATGAGGTCTTTGCCCATTCTGTGATAAGATCCATTATCTTGCTAGTGTTGAGTAATGAGTGTATTATGTTTGCTTTGGCAGGCTTGTGCGATATACAACAACTGGTGGCCCATGTTGTCAGGTGAGCTGCAATGGGGCAAGTTCCCGCAACCCCACACACACAGAAAAACACACACACGCACACAAGAATTGGTGCCTCTGAAGAGCTGTGATATTAATGCGTTGCTTCTGCAGCTCTCATGTATGTGCTGGTACCTATGCCTTGCCTATTTTTTGGAGGCGGGTCCACTCAATTTCTGATAAGCCGCGATGGTGGCGGGTTAGTTCTTCTGTTGACCTAAACAGCTCAAAGATTTTACCTTATCTGCTGCTTTTTGTTGGCTACTGCTCTCTTACCTGTTTTCCACCCCCTTTTTAATTGGCTGCTACAGTTCTGTATGGCTTTAAAAACTAAATGATCAATGAAAAGATGAAACTGGCCCATTATCTAGGTTTATATGTTATTAGTGATATTTGGATGTTCGTTCGCTTGCAGTTGGATAGACGCTGCCAAATTTATGACAGGAGCATCGGCTGTGGGAAGTATAGCTATTCCTTTAATCCTTAAGCATGCCCATATGATTGAGACAGGAGCCATGCTCATCGAGCTTGTTTCTTTCTTTATATTCGTATGTACTGTCCTGTGTTTCCATCAAGCTAACCTTGATGATGATTGGTAATATCAAATGTTATAGTCCATGGGACGCAGCTAGCTAGCTAGATGTGTTGAGAAAGAGAGGACCAGCCGTGTGGCAATCTAGCGACATATGGGAACAATGTAATTGTAAAGCTATTTAACCAATATCTGAGACGCATGTCTTCAGTTTGTGATTCTTTTCAATACGTAGTTTGCTTTCATGTTTATCATGTATCTCTAATTCTGTGTCTAATTTTCGGTTTTTTTTTTTTAAATCTAACTATGAAATGCCTGTTGCCTGATTGAGGAACTTGACCTGCACGCAAGACCCCTATTCTCATCGCACAAGGTCCCTAACTCAGACGAAAATTTCTCTAGTCTTCAGTCACATTACTTTTGGTGGGGTTCAGTGGATTGGATTTAACTGATTATAACAGGGACACCTCTTTGGTTTTTTTTTTTTTTTATTATTATTATTATCTTTTGCTATGTATAGGTATCTTGTTGGAGGCAATTGTAGTCATTTCTCTTGGTGAGGATTTGAATTTTGATTCTTTACATTGTGAGCAACTAATTCCTTCTGTTAACTCAACTTTTGTTGGTCGCTTTTAGTTTTATTTGGTGGAAGTTTTTATGAGTCCAGATGGCAATTACGAGTCCAAATGGCAATTTTTTTTTCCCCAAAGGCAAGCTAAGGGTCTTGAAATCTCTGAAGATCCGTTGCAGCTTGCAGGAGTGAATAGTGTGTTTGGATTAGTGGCAGTAACACTAACTTTTATTCCAACTGATTTTTGCAAACATAAGTTAGAATAAAAATCAATTAGTATAATGTGATTTATGTTTGAACAGGTGCTTATAAAAATCAGTTAAAAAAGTTAAAATTTGTTTTGGATAATTAATAAGAAAGTAAGTTTAGTTGTGAAATGATTGAATATGATTAGAATTTTATTAAATAGTTGCATTTGATATTATATGTTTTTAATGTAATAATAGTTAAAAAAAATCTAAAATTATTATAATAAAATAAAAGTAGTTTTTTTTGGAGTGAAATTCTAAAATAAAGATATTTGTTATCGAGGAAATTTTGAAAACACATTGTAGATAATTAGAGATATATAATGGACTCATGAATATAAATTAAAATTTATTTAATCTCTAATTAAAGTAAATGAAATTACACAACTAATTAGATTGTAAGTTTTGCATAATTTGGTTTCTAATTAACTTGTGAACATGACTCATTTGTTTGGCAGATGTTAAATTTGATGAGAATGTCTCATCAGTTACATAATTATTGTTTCCATCTATTATACTTTCATGTTCAACTTGTATAAGACGGTCATCAGTTGTAAAATTTTGCCTGATAAAATTATGCACAGCCATTGTTGCATAAATTAGGCGGGCTTGTGTTTGAAATTTAAATTTGGACATATCTCTTAAGACTGCAAACTTATTCTTCCAAATCCTAAAAGTTCTTTTAATAGTGCATTTTAAACTTGAATGATAATAATTGAAGGCATCATTCTTATTTCTAAATCTCAGTTGATGATTAAAGTCTGAAAGGTGATAGTATTCACGTCTGTACGGGTGAAGGTATCCCACGTGTGTTGGATAACCAGTATCAACAAAATAATATTTGCCTAAGAAATCCTGATTCAATTATGCTGATGTGAAATAATGTAATTGAAAAGTGATTTTAAAAATAATTGATTTGAAATTTAAAGAAATATATCTTTATGTGGATGAGGGAAATTCATGGATAGAGTTGAGATAGCAGAATAAAACACACAAGTATCATATGCACTACTTCCCATCCGGCTAACATGAAAATGAAGCATATATCCCAATCACCTATGACCATCACATTTTGACTAGGAAATTCCTTTCTTCCAATATATTTTTTTTGCCCAGCTCGACTAATCTTATAGTTTATGTCGGTGCCATCAATTATTCTGATTGCATCTTTAAAAAATGGGAAGTATTGTGGTGATAAAAATAAGGAGCTAAAAAAATGCATACTCTGTGATTATCTATACCAAACAAAAGCTCCAGCAACTTCATGAAATAGATGCATGAACGATTATTTACTGCTATGTTCACATGCATACTCCAGCATCAAAGACACACATGAGGGCTAGATATGTTCATATACACACTCCTTGAACACATAAATGACTTCCCACATATGTCTAGCTCCATCACAGAAAAATTATCACACACTCCAGCATGGAAGACGTGAGGGCCAGAATGAAAGCAGCAAATGATTATTAAAAAAAAAAAAACCTCCACAGATCACACATGAATTTCAAAAAAACTAGAATAAGAAAGGACTAGAAGGGAAATCGAGTAGTTGAAGAAAAGAGGTCTAGATCTAATCTAATTTAGCTACGTACCTGTAATCAAACACGATAGAGCAGATCACGGTAAACCAAATCATGACAGAGCTTCTTCCATCACAATCCTTTATAATTGGCACTAATATAGATGTTCAATTTGGAGGTTTTTCTTTTTTTAATCTTCATAAGCCCTTTGTTGCCGGTATGCAATTCAATCTCACAAAAGAAATGCAGGAATAAGTGAAAAGGGAAAAAATTATTAGGAGTTTGGAGCAAATTTTGGGACGTTGATGTCATGGAAGTTAGAGGTTAAATCTCCATACAACATTGGCTAGTGAGTATGCTCATATGGATGTCAACAGCCCTCCGGTTGCTCATGCTAGTGAGCATTCTCATATGGATAATACTCTAGTTTTTAATGAGGTTACCACTAAGGCGTCATTTGATAACAATGCTGAGATTGACATAAATGGGCAAACAAGCAAAAAAAAAAAAAAAAGAATTAACACAACTCTTGAGAGATAACGAAGACCTTTCTCCACTGCCAAATGTTTGAGGTTGGAAGCATCCAAAGAAGTTTCCTAGGATGAAAGCATATGAAGGACACAAAAAAGAGGGGAAAAAGGTTGTAGGAGCTGGCAATGCCTTTGGAAGTAGAGAAGGTGGTGCCAGAAGTAGAGAAGAGAACTCTAGAAGTGAAAATTTTGGTTTTGGAACAAAAAAGTATATCAAAGAAGAAAACCTATGTATTGTTGAGTGTGTATTTTTAACTTTACATGTTATAATGGTTTATGAAGTGTCTTTATTTAGATATTCAATATTTTAGGAACAAACATCTGACTTGTGAAACCAGACATCAAAAGATACAGCTACTAGCAGCAATTTAGAGTTGTTGCTCATCATCTGCAGCTTTAGGATAATTCTTTTGACCAGCAGATTTATTCAAAACATTTATCTGAGTTGAAAAACCAAACATCAAAATCATCTGAGCTAAAAAACTAGACGTCCTTGAAAGTTATATTCTTGTGGCTTCTTTGCATTCAATCTACTCTAAGAAGCTGAGGACTATGTATGATACAAAACCAACAGTGACAGGAGAGACAATAGATGTGGTTCAGCCAAGTCACGAAGAACATCAAGATTTTGATAACAATCTGTCTGCATAATATGAAGGCATTGACAGGTATGTATTCGTTGAGTATGTGTGATGATTTTTTTAATTTTCTCTTTCTTTATTGTCATATTGGTTACTACCAATTTGTTCAAGAGAGATTGTTGCAAGAACTTTTGAGATGAAAATATTCATTATTGATTCTTTACATATATGTGTCCTTTTAATTTATTTTGAATCGGGTGGAATTTTGTTATCATACAACCCGTTTATGTTAGCATCTCTTGCTATAGAACAGTTGCATTATTAAAAATTTGTAATGTACTACCTTAGGTTTTTAATATAAGAGTTATTTTATCTTTCAAATTTATAGAATACTCTCTAAAGTATTCCTATTGATTACGCATGTTAAAGAGTTTGGTAGTCATAATTAAAAAAGAATATTTTAAAAAAACCAACACATATTTGGGCCAAACAACTAGCTTAATTAATTTTTTTAATACATGCTCTTATATTAAGAATCGGAAGTAATACTACCTCCGGTCTTTAATATAAGACTTTGTTTGACTTTTATTTTAATCCTAAATATAAGATCCCAATCCATTTTATCTATCATAATTATGTATTTTTTTTTCTAATATAGTCTTTTTAATAATAGTATTTCTAACCAATACACTTGATTAACAAAAATATTTTAGTAAAGACAACACCTATTTACTACAAATAACTAACTTAACTTATTTTCTTAATATCCTCAGATTAGTCAACTAGATCTTATAATTAGGACTGGAGGTAGTATCAAATTAAGAAAAACTTTACTCATCTACCTCATTGGTTTTGTCATTACTTCAAGCGGTTTGGATTTATAATATTTTGATTAGAATAAGCCTTCTTTTTTTTTTTTGAGGCCAGATAGAATAATCCATCTGATTTCATGGCTGCTTATTATTATGCATATGTGTGTGTGTTTTTTTTATTGGATTGCCAAAAGGGTCATTTAGAAAAGGACAAATAATTAAAAGGAAAAGACTTTTTGTCTCTTTTATACCTACCTTCACGCGCACAATTCCTGTACGTCTACCTTTTTTTTTTCCCTTTTTTTTTTAAATTCCCAACTATTTTTTAAACCAGATTTTAATAATTCCCAACTAATGCAACATATTTTTTTTCGTATATAAAAGTGACAAATAGTAATAGGGATATTGCTTTTCAAAAGATCTCATATCATTTACAGATTATAGATTATAGTATAGGTATCATATCATAATCAATTTACATTTAAATTGAAATTTAAATATGTATTTCTTGCCGACAAACATACTCACACACATATATGCCTTTTTTATTTTACCATACGTCGATGTTGGGAAAATCATTTTAGAAGTAGCTGTATTTTCTCTCAATTTTTAATTTAGTACATATATGTTTTTTTTCTTAATTAAATTTTTAACTTTGCTCTGCAGTTGTTACTATTACGAAGACTACTAATGCTAACAAGAGTAAAATTAAATATTAAAACATATACATGTATGCTAAATTAAAAATTTTAAAAAATATAAGTAGTTGTAAAATTAAATGATTTTTCCGTTTGCGTGCGTATATATATTGAGGCTGCAAGAAGAAAATTGACCAACGTGAAATCCCACCTCTGCGCCATGCATCAAACTTTGAGCAAGAGATCTTTCGCCGCGACAACCGCGACCCTCCCTGCAGAACTCCGGCGCGGGTCAGCCGCCCGCTGTCGGGCAGTCAACACCGTCCATCAAAGTGAGTTTTGTTGTTATGTCAGAATTT